TCCTCTGTGTGTGTCGCTGTAAGTTTCTTGCCATTTTATAGCCCGCCTACTTTCTTTGCTAGACTCCCAACAGAATCATCGGTCCTGTTGTGTTCTAGCATTTTTGGGCTGTGGACCTTTTTCTTCCGGAAGTTGGAATGTGTCAATATTAGGATTAGTGGACAGAAATGATTAGCGGATGGATACCGTCCATATGTGACTCGCTGCTACGTGTCCTTCTCATGACGTTGTCTCTTCTATGTGCTGATGTAGAAGGTATTTTGTAGTGACTAGGCTACGATGAACTGAATTTGAATGTTGTATTTGTCCACTGCAGCTCCTTATTTTAACATTCACGCTTCAGAGATTTGGCTTACAAGACATATGGCGTCAATGTGCGCTGCAGGGTCTTAATATTATTATTTTTTAAACGAGCTTTGTGGTTCATAAAAGTGAATGGTGGTGTATTATCATTTATTATCTATTTGTTACATGTGCATATTTAACTTGAAATTAATGGGTTCTGTTTGTAATTTCAGTTTGTGTTGATACAATAAGCATCCACAAAGTTCCAGACTGTAGTTCTTTGTTCATGAACGTGCTGTATAATTAGTAGCACTACTCTCTTCCCCATATGCCCTCAGGAATGTTGCTTATTGTTCATTTTTCATATAATGTTATTTATAAGTCAATGAGAGAACAGATGAATCCAAGCAATGGCCTAACAGGATGGTCACATGTTACTGAACTACTGTACAATACAGAGTTTTTATGTAGCTAACTGTAACTGTGACTCAAGCAGCTGGTTGATCAACTGAAAAACACCAATGCTGTGTTTGATATTCTCCCATCACGCATTGTTAAGGGCTGCTTCGATGTAATTGGACCGAGCATTCTGTTCTTAATGCACTTTTCTCTACTCTGTGGATCTGTCCCACTGGCCTTTAAGCATGCTGTAGTCCAGCCTATTCTGAAAAAAAAAGAATCTTGATTGTTATGATCTTTTGAACTATAGACCAATCTCTAAGCTTCCGTTTCTGTCCAAGATCCTGGAGCGACTAGTTCTTTCTCAGCTTCAGGCATATTTAGACGCAAACAACATTGCAGAGAAATTTCAGTCTGCCTTTAAGCCACGGCATAGCACTGAAACGGCCTTGCTTAGAGTTCTCAATGACCTTCTTGTAAGCACTGACTCTGGACGCTCTGTGGTCCTGGTTTTATTGGACCTTTCCTCTGCTTTTCATATGGTCGATCATAACATTCTTCTACTAAGACTTGAGCATACTGTGGGTATAAGAGGCACTGCCCTCAACTGGTTTAAATCTTATCTTGCTGACAGGTATTTCTCGGTTAATTTGGGCAACTTCTCATCTTTCTCGGTACCTGTATGCTGTGGTATGCCTCAAGGATCTGTATTAGGACCTATTCTCTTCTCACTATATCTGCTCCCTCTTGGAGCAATTTTTGAGAAGTATAATATTGCCTTTCATTGC